CGCAGTGAGAAGGAAAGTTGAGTGTCACTTCCAAACATGTATCGCATTGTTGACAAGAAAGTACGTTGTAAAAATTAATAATGAAAAACATGAAAGTGCACTTGTCTCAAGCAGCAAAAGTAATCAATATTCCCAATATTATTAATATTAACTGATATTCCCGATATTTTGTTGTCTGCCCACTAGCCTATTGGGTCACGCTGTTAATTTAGATGATCGGAAGTTGGAAAAAGTCTACGCATCGGGTATGATCGGTTGAAATCAACTGCAATCAGACCGTTCAACTATTAACATGTTCAACAGCCAAATCAAATTCACTTTCTCAACAGTATGTGCAACAAGCACCGATCAAACCTGTTTTTGGTGTCGTTGGATCAAGTCCGTTAAAAGATCTGGTTAATTTTAATCGTACTAAGTCGTTTCTTGAATACTCCGTGCACGGCGTTTTTGAAGGGATTAAATTCCTATGGTGAAGTCATTTGTTTCCCCACTTTACTCAGATGTTTGTTCTATCGTAATGATTGCGATACTAAAACAAGTGTCTAAAGTGAAACGACTACAGTACGCCGCGATCCAAGAGCGAACACAAAACTTTACACAGGGTGACTGAATTCAACTGACAAACTATCACCGGTTTAACTCAAGAATCTAAACAAAGATCATCGATCAGGCAGTGCGGTACAAAAATTTCTTTGGGTACGTCTATTTCCAATCATCTTCTCTGGTATAATCGATCGGTTAGACACCTTTCAAATATACCTACTATTGCATGAAACGATTGAAATGCTTTTGGCACTACCCATAAGTAAAAGTTGGCTTCCATACATGAGGACATAGAGTGTGTGATTTCAATGATGATGAGCTGTTGAAAAAACGACATTGAAAACCCATTTTCTGACCTAATATACGAAGAAAATGGTCAAGCAGTTCGTTACTGGTGTATGCATTATGAGCATGCCCATTGCTTATTAGCGATTCGCCGAGAACGACCCTAACTCACGCTTTTTCACTTATAATTTCGAACGAACACCTCCCAAATAGGTTATCGCCTATGCTGAATCTTGTGGCAATGTTAGTTTTCAGAACGAAATGCAGTAAGTGAGTGTAAACCTATACTAAGTGAAATAACTCATTTTTGATTATTTTCATCATCAAAAATCGAAAAACTCATAACTCACGAGGGAAGGTCCCCGACTGTCAAATCGCTTTTGACGTAAAACTTAGTGGACAATGGGTAACCGAGCATGCTGATTCCGAATACGACGATGGTTTTTTCGCCAATGCGTCTTTGAAGACCCCAGTTTTTGAAAAACTGGATGTTCGCAATGAAAAACTTTTTTGATCCGCACAAATGAAAGCACATGCTCCAAAACCTACGCAAAACTATTTTTTAAGGTTTTGGAACGGTTCTGGACAGTTTTTAAAAGGGCAAAACTTAATACTACAGCCAGAAAACAGCTTTTTACGTTCAAACTTTTAGTTTTGCACGCTTTCAAAACCTTAAAGAATAGTTTTGCGTAGGTTTTAGAGCATGCGCTTTCATTTGTGCGGATCAAAACAAACCTTTTATCAAAAAAGTTTTTCATTGCGAACACCCAGCTTTTCAAAAACTGGGGTATCACGCCCTATCGGGAACGGGAGGACAGAAAAAAATGAGCTCTCTAGGGTTTTGTAGAGGAAGGTTTGCTGGTTCGAATCTATAAAAGAACGGGAAAAAAAATCTTTTTTTCGTTCTTTTCCAACCTTGTCTTTCAAAGATGTGAATGTTTACCAGCTGTAGGTGGTAGACCTTCGCCGGTTTTTTATTTCTCAAGATGTCTTAAGGTGTTCGCTCTCGAACAGCGAAAATTTACCTACTTTCTATCAAAAGTTATTCAAAACATAGTCACGGGCATTCTTTTTCGAAACGTATAGTAGGTTCAGATCAAATTATTTTTATCTGAACTAGTCCGCTTTGAATAGTTCACATCAAAATTATATTTTGTCCTAGTTCGAATCAAAATTTCAATCTGAACTAGTTGACTTCGCAATCGTCTTAATCTCAACTAGCTCAGATCAAAATTTCAATCTGAACCAGGAGAGTTTTAAACTGAACTGAATTCTAATCTGTCCTACGACATACACATCCAGACTTCAGAAAATGTCTTTCAAAAACAAAACTCAGCAGAAAACTTTAATTTCATTTAGTTTTTCGTTCTATTGACAAATCTGATGTTTATTTCTATTCAACACACATTTGTTTTACAGGAAACTGACTTTAATAGTGTAATACTCATCGATATGCTATGCTATTACATACTGTATTTCGAATGATTTCATCAGTAATTTCAGTTTGTTAGTGTCTCAAAGTGCACATTGTAAAGTATGTGATCATATTTGTCATTTCCCCAAGACTATTTATTTTTGTTCTCATGCCACAAATAAGAAAGTTACCTAGAAAAATGATAAAAACTGACGCAATTGAGTCAGTTAAGGTGATGAAAGCACTGGAAAGGTTATTATGATTTTTAATATTCATGTTTCTCTTTTTCTTTCTCTTGCTGGATGATTGTGCAAGAGTATTGAATAAGGTTTAAAAGCACATTGCTTAATGGATTAATATAACAACATTGTATTGTATTAATGTACAAGACAGAAGTATGACGGCGTCATATTTGATTAATATTCCGAAAACGAATTTAAAATTAAAGAAAGTTAACGACTTTTCAAAGAGTATTTTTATCGACAATTCTGGTTCAACAACTGGTCAATTAGTACATGTTGGAAAAGACATTCTAAAAGCGGAATTAAGTATTTGTCAGGATATTAAATTCGACAATATTATCCTGTGGAATTCATCAGCCGAGATATGTAAAGATATAAAGTCAGCTAGATCTACCGGTGGAACTGACCCCCAAGCTATATTTAAAAATGGCTCTACAAAAGAAGCATTCAATACATCAGATGTTATTGTGTTTGTCACGGATGGGGAAATTGATAATAGCAGTGTCACACAGGTATGCAAAGAACCGTTTTTGTATATAGATTTATGTTAAAAAATCGTATTTTTCATCTTTTCACTACTATTAACTAAATATTTTCTTTTCAAATGAGATGTTTATTTGTTGTCCGAAACGTAAGTTAATTTTAATCTGAAGATGCGATATTTCATGATCCTTGCCGAAGTTGAAGAAAAACGTTTTTCTCTACATAAAATAATCTTCTCTTAATTTCGTGGGTGAGGTTGGCTCTTTTTGTCATCTGTACTCCGAAACACAGCTGCTGGAAACTAATCAAATGAACTTCAATACCCATTCTTCCTCTATAGAGACATATGTCTGATAATAAATGACTAGTTGAACCTCTTGATTGTTAAGAATGTCTTTAACGTACGAAAGACTAAAAGGTGAAAGGTTTGTAGAAAAAACCATATTCTTCCATTAAACTGCTATTTGATTCAATTAAGCATCTTATCAACCTTAGAATAAAAGAACAGTTTATGATATGCATTAACTGCGTTCACATGGATATTATGTAGATTCTCAGGCTTTTGATAATGATCGTGCAAATGTAATGCAGTCTAGCTCTTACTGTTTCAATTGTTCTCAATACATTCTTTTACACTATTTCACTTTTCTTGATGTTTATCTTTATGCATCTATCTCAGCGAAATAAAAAATAGGTTAGAAAAAAGAACTTTCTTTTATCAACAGTAAGCTTTCTTTCAATTTTCAGTTTTCAACATATCTAAAAGACAATTTGAATAAAGCGTTGATTATTTCTGTGATTGTCAATAAAAAACTTGCTGATCCATCAAAAATAAATGTGTCCGTTGTGGCTCCCTTAATGGTTGGCGGAAACGTATTATGTCTATTCTATGATGGTCAAACGTTCTATGTTCTATCATCGAAGGGTTATATTAGTAATTTTTACAAATCACCCGATAATCTAACCGATTATAAGTATTTGAATACACTTAATATGAAGGAGTTGTTTAATAACTTGGACATTTACGAATATGCTAAAATACCCGATGGATATATTAGCATTCGAGATGATGAAGAAGAAATTTTGGCATTGGATTTCAACAAATTTATGAGTGTCACAGATCTTGATGCTGTCAAACAAATAGGCGAAGAAGAATGGAAGACGTTAATTCAATATGGAAAAATTGGCAATAAATTAGCTGAGCTACGCACATTTGTTACACAAATGAAAAACACAGCCGTTCGATCAGACATGGCTACTATTAAGACAAAATTTAATTTTAAATATTCAAAACAACGAGATGACATTGTTGCAAAAATTGTCGCTCTAAAAGCTGATCCTGATGCAGATGCCGAGCAACTAGCGGCATTTCGAAAAGATCTACATGAAATATCGGACAAAGCAAAAGTTGAAGAATTAGAGTACATTAAATATGTCAATTCAAATCTTCATACAACTAGACAATTCTGGAATAATATTCAAAATATGATCCACGAACAGGAAGTTGGTAGTTACAGTATCAATGATTTCTCGTTTGCATCAAATCGAGCGAATAGAGCAAAAACAGTGACCGAAAATGACGATGATTATGGCGATACATTGAATGTTTTGGATCACAGTGGTGTGCCAAATATTGAATGTGCCATCTGTATGGAGCAAGGACCAGCTGTTCTTTGGTTAAAATCACCGGCAAATCTTGATGATTCAACAAGCGACTACGCCATCAATTTTCCTTTGCAACGAAACGATAGTCTACGGAATTGCATTGTCTCAAATCCTGTGTGTGGATCATGTGCCAACCCGTACATGAATGCTACCACGGCAGGTACAGGTGAATTAATCACTTTATATCGTGAAACGTGCTCTGGTTTTATCCCATTAAAGTGGTCGTCAGTGTCAAATCAAAGATATTCAAAGTATATCCTTTACCGAACATTAGCTGGCAACAAAGTTTTACATCATGTCTCAATGTTACTATTGGCTATCGTCGATGATCACAAATCAGACTGGTTTGATGAACAGGTGAAAGCGTATCTAATTAAGCAAATTGCCGAAAATATTTACACAACCGATTCATTTACCGAGGAAGGAACAAGAATGACATTTGTCAATGCTATACGTGAAGTTATCAAACAAGAAGATAAATTGATGAGACAACCATTTACGGCTGTCTGTCGAATCCTCAATTTGAATCGTCTGTTTCATAAACTTGATACAGATAACATTATCCAGTTGCTGAGAAAACGATTTTTCCTTACATGTATCGAGACACAATGCAACAAGAGTAAGTATGGACCTGAACATTTGGCTATAGTTAAAACAAAGTTGTACGATACCATATTTTATACGTTTTGTGGAATACCATTGCAAGGTTCATTCAAACAAGTTAATTTTGATGATCAAAAATTAAAAGAGTTTTTGGGGAACACGTATGACAGCTATCTTGATACCGTGACAAAATTGGCTGTGAACATTGGTAGTGAGTGTTCGGTAATATTCCCGGGCAAAGTTATTTCTTACATTTTGTATTTGTTAACAACGGTGGAAATTCATGATCGACCAATGAAATTATACACTGCTTTTGCGTTACAACATAAAATGATTCGAGATATGAATGTCGATTGGAATGCTGCAACGAAATCGGCGACTGAAAATGTTTTTCGAAATTCTCATAAACTATCGAAAATTCTCATCCCCGCTTACGCAATTAATTTAGGACGATTTTCTTGTCCAAGTAAATTCTTTTTCCATACAAAACCATTATGGTCCTCAAGCGTCGAAAATAAACGTGTCAATATTACTGCATTAATGAATGAAGTCAAAACAAATCTTGACAAGGAACTGAAGGAGGCAAATGGTAGCGTTGCTCCGAACAATCAAAGTGCACGTGAGTAGTATCTGTATTAGGTAGTCATTTTCTGAGGTACATGCAAGCAGAGTTCACGGAGAAATTTTCCAGCATTTATCTTGAATCATATGTTTCCTTTTTGTTCATCAACTTTATGGCAGTTTAAGACGAAGAACAGACCCACTGCTAAAAATAACGCGTATATAACAAATAGGAAACTCAGGGTTTTTTGAGATGGTTTTTACTGGATGTTAGTAAGACAACAATGTTCAGTTTGCTTATTTTAGAAGCAATCTTTCAGTTTAATAGTATAAGAATGCTAAACATGCTAATTTTGAGTAAATGTACTTTTGATCATCAAAATTTTCTGCATCAATCTCACATTTTTATTTCTCAACAAAGTATAATGTACAACACAAACATGTTCATTAAAGATTAACCAGATGAACAATATTTTTACAGGTTTACTAATATCTATTTACAAATTTAAAGCTGTGCTTTCTTGGGATGCCCGTTTGCCTAATGGTTGAATACGTGTTTTATCGTAAACTTGATACAAGTTAAATAAAATTGCTAATCCAACAGATTGTTGCCGCATCAGAAATCATTGAATGTAAGTCACTTACGAGAACGATAAATATCTAGCCAATAACACATTCAGTAATTTTCTGATGTAGCAGCAATCCTGTTGGCTTATTGTAGCGTTAAAATCATGTAACTGTCCCGTTGGTATGAAAGTATATTTGTGTAAACATTCTGTTGGATTAGCAGTTTTATTTAACGTGTATCAAGTTTACGATAAAACACGTATTCAACCATTAGGCAAACGAAAAGCAAAACGGCGTCCCAAGAAAGCTAGCACAGTTTTAAATTTATAAATAGATACAAGTAAACCTGTAAAAATATTGTTCATCTGGTTAATACTCCAATGAACATGTTTGTGTTGAACATTATACTTTGTTAAGGAATAAAAATGTGAGATTCATGCTGAAAAATTTGGTGATGAAAAAGTGATACCCTTAATTTTTATAACAAAAGATGTGAGCGAAAGCGGAATAATTTTCATGATTCGATCATTCAATGAAAAGGGCTTTTTCTGATCACATATCAGTCCATTTCTAACGCCTGATATCAAATTAAACTCAATCGATGTCTATTGAGGGTCTTTGTATCGGAAGAAAGTAAACATTTGATAAAAACATTGATTTCATCCTTCAGAGTCACAATTTTGTACTATTTGAATGTTCTAGATTTCCCATTACATTTAATCGTTGCCGAAGTCTTGACTGAAAAATATGCGAATGTCGATAACATAACTGATGAAATGGTGATGGATTGCATGGTGAGAATGGCACGCACAGCTGGGAAAAAGGGAAATATCTATGCAGAATACGTATTCAATGGTGTCGCTGTGACCATTGTGGATTATTTGAAATTTCGAAAAGAGACAAAAAATTGGGCAACATCAAATGAATTAGAATGTCGTTCATATCAGTACAAAGTTATTGCGGAATTAAAATCCTGTGGAATGGATTACAATGAGAATACCGAGGAAGTTCTATTTAAACCATCATTATTCAAAGTTCCGCACATGCTCGATGTTTATAATAGTGACATCGATTTAATCGATCTCAAAAAACGAGTACAAGATTTGTATACGACTACGAACACAGCAGCAGCAGCCGCAAATGACATAGATCGAGCATGTGTAAACATTGAAATCAAAGACTTTATTGAATTTGGATACAATATGGATACAAATGCATTGTTGCCAATTTGGGCTCGGTAAGTTAGTATTACAACTTTGTTCTAACTCCACAGTTCAATGTTCTTTGTAGTGAGCAACAAAATATTGTGTCAACGATTGTCACTGATACGGATCAAATCGAACAACCGATTAAATATGTCGCCGGTCTGGATATTAGTTTTGTGAAAACAAACGACAAGGCGGTAGCATCAATGGTCATATTTGATTATCTAACACTGAATATTGTTGCGAAAATCAGTGTCAACTGCAATATGAAAATACCATACGTTGCTGGATATTTGGCATTTCGAGAAGCGCCTGTATTCATGAAAATAATCGATATCGTCAAAGAAAATTGTCCTGAACTAATACCACAAGTCATACTAATGGACGGAAATGGCATTTGGCATCCACGTCGTGCTGGAATTGCGTCTCATTTTGGCGTTCTAAGTGACATACCTTGTTTTGGTGTAACGAAAAATGTTCTAGTGGCTGATGGAGTAACACAAGAAAGTGTTGAAAAATTGCTGATTGAACATGCAAACAAAGAAAATGAATTTGTTGAAGTTAAAGGTGATAGCGGTGCTGTTTTGGGATTGGCGTACAATGTAACTGGATTTGTGAAGAATGCTGTGTACATTAGCGCTGGACACAAAATAACACTGCAAACAGCGAAAGATATATTTAAAACTGTAACGAAATATCGTATTACAGAACCAATTCGACAAGCTGATTTACTTAGTCGGAAACTTGTCGCAGAGCTTGAATAAACTTCGTGATAGTATAAACTTTTTTTTATTTATTTATTTCATTATTACTGTTAATCTTTTTTCTATGTACGAGTAAGTATTAAAAATTTTTAAAACACAAAACATGATACCGTTTTGGAATTAATCATGGCCAATAACAACATCCACAAGTAAATGAAAACCAGGAATAATAATATCTCTACCCTTTTCCTACATCATGCTAGAAATGTGAGGGTGGAACCGGACTGGCTTGAAATTTTGATTATAACAAAATGGAGAAAAAAATCGATGTCCTCATGCAGAGTTAGTCTTTTTCGAATGGTTTCACAAACATTAGAACGTGGTCGGAACATATTTTTGTGTAATGTCAAGTTCACTCATTCACTTCGCATACAGTAGAATTTGTTTGAATTAAAAACTTTGACGAAAAGGTTGACTTTATGGGAACTGAACGAAAACAGCAAAAATTTGAACATTTTCTGCGTGCTATAATAAAGAAATTTTTGTTAACTCTCGGTGATCTGACAATATAGACTAATCATTTCTCTTCGAAACAAAACTGAATTCAACCTGAAAATATGAAATTTTGACTGAATTGTACTTGCTTTATTGAAAATTCCAACTTGCTAGTAAAATATCCTCAGTTTTAGAAAATTTACAAAAAACAATAAAATTATTAAGCCTTCAATTCTTACTGAAAACTTTATTATAGGTGAAAGATAGAGCTTTTCGGCCTACGCGATGGGTACTTCAGGTGTTTTTCTCGCGCAGGTGTTTACTGAAGAAAATTAGAAAAACTGTTTTTTGTCCATTTTGATACTTTGCACAATGTCTCTTATCATTTTTCATCTTTATGTTTTGCAATAAGACACCCAATACATTTTTTAAAGAGAATTGAACGGAAAATCTAATGAAATGGCGACCGAGACAATCGGACTTAGGAAACAAGAGACTACAGTGCTAGTTTATTCATGGATGTTGTAGCGTTTAGTTTGAGTATCAATTCGCATAAAAATGTCAAAGAAAATGAAAATCTTTATCTTGAAAACCCTTTAATCTGATAGCTATTTCTAGGCAGAATAGACACATATCCCGGTCGGATTATATATCCTATTTTGAAAATATATCTTGACCAACCTATGGAAGTACCTCCCGTTCGAATAGGTTCATGTGTCAGCTTTGTGTGATTTTAATATGTCATACTTAGCCTACTAGCTCCACGGTTTTCTATAAAGATAAATCGAAAACGCTAACGTTTATGGAACTTCTTAATTCATTTGCTCAATATAGTCAATAGATTTGTTTTCAAAACTTTTTAAAAACGACATATTTTTCTCTACTTTAGTTAACCCGCAAACTGTAGGTGTCTTGACTGACTCACTGATGAGTTCCATAGATTCTAAGCATAGGTTTAGCAGGAATTTCATAGCCTCGTTCACTCTTTCGGTTCCCCTCCATCGGTTTACTCTGGATTTATGCTTTCCTTTAATATTTCTTCTGTTTTAATAGCGCAGCAAAACTGGGAACTTTTAGTTTACCCAAAATCCTTGGCTGCGAGGTGGTATCAATGCTTCTCTCAAATAAGTGTATAGAACGATCCTAATAAGATAACGCTATCCAATCTTTATCCCACAAAGGCTTATGAAAATTCTTGGGATATGCTCATAATTCCGAACTGGAGATTTAGACATCATTAACGGTGGGGTGAGTTTAGAGGAGAGAAAGTTTTTCGGAATGCCCTCCTCCCCTTTAATATTTCACAAAAAGCATAGAGGAGAGAAAATCGTATATTTTCTATGAAAAAGTGTAGTTCTTCCCGATGCTCTAGCAGATATAAGAATAATATTTTATTTTTCTGTTTGTACTTACACTGGTTTTCTATTTATTGAGGGATTCCGAGTTCCACAGATGCCGGAATTTTAGGAAGTTCACGAGAATTCATCGATTTTTAGACCCTACGTTTACTATGAGTCTTCTCAACATTACAAAGGAGACAAAAAATGTGCTTCAAGAGAAAAAAACAGCTGCGTTCTTTCGTTGTTCACCTTCAATCAAAGGTGTTTATAGTTTCTTTCTTATTCTTCATTAATTATAAACGCAGTTGCATGAAAAATAAGAATCAGACCAAAAGAAAACACAAAAATGTCACAACAAAATGAATAAAGGAGGTTAATTCATGTATTATGTTCATTGCACAACTTTAGTCGTTCTTCCGAATGTAGGCGAGAATAGTGAGATTGCTTTTTGCCTGTACAATGATCAACTTCGTCTGTTTCATTCTAGCATCGTATAAGGATTGATTTTGTGTTTTAATAGTTTTCCTGGATACCCGCCGTTTCTAGCACTTAATGTTATACGAAAATAGTGGCCTGCACAGTTCTTTTCTGTGCTCTAATCTCTTTTTTTAATGATGTTTTTTACTTCGTTTAGTTTAAGTTTTGTAATTTTAATCACATCAACGATAAACGCATTTGATCACTGTTATTCTGTCTTTAATCCGCTTCAACAATACTGTACATCATCACCATCAAGGATTTATTTACACAGTTTATTAACTAACTGTAGATCTTATCAAGATCCGCTAAAATTTGTCATCAATTCTTCGTGTAAAAAACCTGTTAACATTAATTTAAAATTTACAACAACTGAAAAATATTTGATATTTTTGGATAATAAAGACAATCAGATCGTGCATTTTTTCAATCCAACTCTTAAATACGAAAATGCTTTTGTAATAACGATTATCGAACAAAATCAAGAAGAGTTTGTTATCGGTAAAGATCATCTACAACAAGCAACAAATACTGGCTTTTATTTTCTACATGTCGCTCAGTCACAACCAAATTACACATTGTATCTCGGTAAGCTCGATACAAGGTAAATCTATGTGGTGATAAAGAATAGAGTTCTACTGTGCCATTTTATAAGGAGGAGATGTTTTATAGTGTTTTTGTTAAATCGTGTTTGGGTAGCTCAGTGGTTAGAGCTTCAAACCTGTTATCAGAGGGTCCTGAGTTTGATTTTCGATCGAGGCATAAATTTTATTTTCACATGTTTGTCTATCAAATTGTGTCTCCCTCCTAGTCGTGTTAAAATTCACTTTCTAATTTCATCAAATCTTGCTTGACAAGTCATCTGCCAATAATGTTAAGAATATTTCTTCAAGTAAATTAATTCTTTTCTTAGTCAGATAATGTCAGTAAGCCGAAAAAATTTCAGGATATGTACTTCAAAGTATCCCCTACAAACTGAGATAGTGCAAGGAGAAAACGTAAGACTTGAGAATTTCGCTCGTTTTTCGAATTTCTTTTAGAATCAAACTTTGGAGTTCCTAACGAGATTTCTTACAAATTGTAAAATAAAAGAATATAAAATTTGAAAATATTAAATATCGTAAAATTTAATTTGGAAATAGAAATGAGAAGAACTCTCGTGAGAAACTGCGAAATTCGATTCTCGAATATCTTTTGTACAAAGAGTGCCTGTGTTTATTAACATACAATCGACTCTTCATATCAAAAACTAGAGTTTCTATTGAAATTTAAAGTATGACAAAAAATTCAGAAAAAACTTTTTCGTTATCTAGAACTGTAAGTTCGAGAATCGAAACTTAATGAGACATATACTTCGAATTGTTCTGTACAAACTACCGAAAATAACCAAGTGAGGGGACTTCCTTCTCACTTGCATGTTTTGATTTTAAAAATATGGATTCGTGTCCAGCATCTACTTTAAACCAGTTTCTATGGCAAAGTTTTACGAAAGTTTCGTCCAACATTTTTACTTAGATGAAGAATATTTCAATATAAACGGACCAGACAGAATGTTGATTCAGTATCCATGTTATTACCATAATACGGTTCAATCAGGAAATATTTATTCTAAAAATATGTGGAAAAAAGATTCGCTTGAAGTTCGAATTTGTGACAACGTACAATTTACCCTTTTATCATCGTTTTCAGCAAAAACAAAATCAACAACCATGACAGCTTTAGGGCAGACTACGTTTAGCGATGCAACGTTTACAATTTATAATCATTCATCGGTGGAACTTCTGGAGAAGACAACAGATTTTAATCCAGCGACAATTGCTGCTATAACTAGCGTTGGGATTATAACATTATTGTTGGTTGGTATTCTATTGATTGTATATTTGTTTTTTTCGATAGTTCAAGAACATCTACTTCACCTGATATCAGATTCGACGAATGTGGATCTTTTGTTTTTCTCAGGTGTTTCTTCGCCTTCTACTTCTGACAATTCTCTTCATATTGTCGACAGTTAAATAACATATATATCCCTCTCTTTTGTTTCGAATCCTTTCAAACTTTCGTCCATTTTGAAACGATTTGCCATATAAGTCACGAGAGCAGGAGAAATGCTGTCTGCTTCGTTGAACATGTCAACTGATGAACATTCAAACGGATTTTTCATGTCTACCAAGATGCTGAGAAAATACTTTTAGAGCCATCATGATGATGCGTCGACTGTCTTCTCGCTAGCTATTCATCCTCAAGCAAAATTTGACGTTTCACGTAATCTCTTTAATTATTGATTGCTCGAAGTATAAGCATCACTAGCTACGACTGAAGTGTTACGTTTTTCCATTGTTTCACATAACATGGATGTGTACAATATTCAATACTGAATGATGCGTAAACGGCTATTTCTTTTTGTGTAGGAATCATCCACTCTAGATTTTAATCCGGAATTTGAAATTGCTGATGCGCTTTTGTCAGCAGTGTCCAGTTCTACATTTCCACGGAAATTCATAGAACCGACAGAATTCGACACATTCAAACATATACTGTTGATAAGATTCTGTTCAGAATATGATCGAATTCTAGTAGAATTACAATTCCAGTTCTACCAGAATCTGGCAGAATTAAAAATTTATCTGTACTATTAGCATTTTCGACCAATCGTGTCCCACCTACAGATAACATATGGAACGGAATTTGACATAATCAAATTCATATAAACTGAGTGATCAACTTCTTCAGCTACAAAAATATCGCCAA